CGGACTGTGGTGGGTCCGAGAAATTATAAACGCTATTGTTTTAGAGTTCAATTGCGCAATGTGGCACGTCGAACTTCGGAAGAGAACCTCCCAGACAGCCCCATTGAAATCGTTGACAAAAACAGAAGTTCTCAATTTAAGTCACATAAATGCGAGAAAGTTTACTAGAATAAATTACGAAAGGTTAATTCATTATATTCGTTTTTCAGATACTTGCATCTTAGACCTGAGTGCACAAGTCATAGGAGCACTGTGCCTTTTACACGCTTAACAATTCATTTGTTTTAACAAATTCTGTACATAAATGTATGTGTACCTTCTCCTGTAAATATCGCCGTCGCCCAATTTATGTTGCCATGAGGACACACTTAACCGCATAACATGGCCGCATCTGGAATAGCTAAGATGTACCGCAAGTTGACATAATAAAGAACACTAGGCTACAGGTAGGTCCGAAATAATATACTTTAAAAATCTCTACATTTTTGTTTGATACGCGGAAATATCACCTTTTAAATATTGTTGTGTATAAATAAAAGGCCTAAGAAACTACTGAACTAAAATTAAGTCAAGTAACCACGGATGCAAACAGTGAGAATACACCTAAAAAAACTATCTTTACGCAGGCAGGAGTGGCAGATGCAGGTAGAGGTAACGTCCCTGATAGACACAGTATAAAAGCATGACAAGTCATTGATAAACGTGGTTCTAGGAAGTCTATATAATTTGTAGTTTGGTCACTATTGCTTCAAAAAAATGAACGACTTCCTTCCATGGAACACAGCAAATTTTTTTTTCCAGTTTCAAATACAGAGCTCTACAACTACTGCAAAGGTAACTTAATGTTGAAGAAATGGCATATTTGAAGTTTGCGTAGCTAAACGCAGCAAGGCATTTTCGACCTAAAATGACCAACAGGTCGGGCCATGAGACCAACTAGGTTATTTCGTGTCGAAGTACGTCGGCTCAGATGGGCTGTGACCAAAGAAACAAGACATATAAAATTAGGAACAATCAAATGGCAGGACTGCATTAGGTTCGAATTCAAAAATTTTACGGATTTTTATAGAAAAAATACCCTTTTTATCTAAAGTTTGGGGACAGAAAGCATCCGCCTCGCTAAAGTACGATAAAAAAGATTATTAGGCAGATTTTCCGAAAGTTTATGAAACTGCTAAATAGGGGAAGCTCTCAGCAACCTGCCGGCAATTAAAATCGTAAAATAGAGTGCAAAAGGATCTCGATGGACGAACTAGATAGGGTCGTAACAATAAGAGAAAGTCGTACGGACTGGAAAACAGCCTTTTTGCTAACATCAGACTGGGACCAGAAAAAAAATAAAAAATAAATCAGGCGAGTATAAACTATGCAATGGAAAATATGTGTATGAAATAACAGTTGTAGCTAAGGCAATTGCAAATAGCACTGCCGGCAAAGACAACGGAGACTGGAAGGGTCCCTCCGTCAACAGCCAGTCATACCCGGCCGTAAATAGTACCCGACGATCGAACCCGTGGCCTTTTGGTCAGGAGTCTAACGCTTTAACCATCGAGCTATGGGTTCGCTCTCTTGCCGGTTTAGATCGAGAGATATTGACGAGGGAGTTCTGTTTTCGATCGGTGAATGGTAATTAACGAGTGCCAATATTACCCGCTCTTAACCAGAAAGACAACGAGACTGTAGCTCAAAAGTTAGTGTTGGACTTCTGATCAAAAGGTCACGCGTTCGAGCCTCAAGTGGGCCACTACTTGGGTTTGCGTATGACTGGTTGGTGACGGCCAATGGGCCAAAAATTGATATTCCAGTCTCCCTTGTCTTTGCCGGTAATGCAATCCTCCGAGACTTCTAGCAACTGTACGGCTGCTGGCGAGGCTCAATAATAAACCATAAGGCAGAGCGCAACAAGTGAGTTATGTTAGAGATCGGTGAACCTTGATCAGATAAGGCAATTGCACTTACCATCACTAACCAGGTTATCTATGACACCGAGTTGTTCTTGGACAAGGGGGAGTTCGTACCCAATATGCTCCCTTTCCTGAATTCTTTGAGAAATTGTGCCTATTAATAGCTAGCATACCCCATGTATAGAAGCCGCGTAGCATGGCTTAACATATATGCAGAGGCGTAGGTTTTCTTCACTTTGCTCATGACTTGTTTCGTACGCAACCTGACAGAATCCTTGGTGCTGTGAGCAGCCTGTGGAAAGATTGATTCCCGCACTTCCCGCAGGAATTTTTCTAGCACAAAAAAATCCATATTGACTAGGAAGCCAATCACAAGAAATACAAAACCGGCAAGCTGTAAGGCGTCTTTTCAATCCGGCCACCCGAATTCCACCACATTATAAAGCTTTAGATTTTACTAATGTGGATATTTTATCTACGATTTCGTAATGTATTGAATATTATTTCAGAAAAATCCAAGCGCTATATTTCGAATAGCGACATGTCGAGTTATTTCACCATATATTAAATTGGTGTAGAACCACTTTGCACACGCACTCGATGTTAACATTTCCTCCATTCTTCTGAGATAGATAAAAATCCGGCTGCAACACGCTGCGCCCTCCTGTCTACCGCTATCATCTCCCGTGATATTAAATTGGTTCACGCATATGATAACATTATCTTCTGCAGAGTCAACCTTCTTCCCCTCCACTTTTCAAGCATAATTTCCCAATGTTGGCAATGCTTGTCCATTTTGGAACGCCGACGGTGATCTTTGCAATCTCGGTTCATGATCTTCGTGGGCACTTCAGTTTAAACCAGCTTGCCTGTGGAGTCTGCCTCCCATATGAGTGCATTTTCGACACCTCGGTGATTTTTTTGTAACATGTACTACCCTCTCTTCGTTTCGAGCCCATTGTCGAAGATGACACCTCCTGACTCACCCCCGGTGTTATATGACCATTACCATTATAAGAAAAGTTTCGAAACCCCAAAGTTCTTATTAAAATCAGCATCCCATCTCACTGCATCATATTAATCAATAAAGTATACCCCATTGCAAGAGGCCAGATTGCCCTGCAAAACTGCCCCCTAGCCGACTCACTTGCTTAGGGGAGTCATAAAATCTAGAAGAGAAGTCATTTAACCAACGAGACTGCTTAATTGTTCTGGTTTAATTCTCAACAAATTTTTATATGCCTTCTCCCAGCTGTTCTAAATAGCTTCTATCTGAAAGTGGAGAAAGGGAT